GGTAAAACATTGTGTTCCGGGACATGCAATGGACACTTTTTAATCACAATTTTAATAACAAAAATAAAGAGGTTGTTTTAAGTAGTGTTGTTTTTTTGAGTAGTTAATGTCCACATAAAGACATTCGCAGATGCTAAAGCAGGTTGTGGAAATAAAAAAATCCCAGAAACATACAGAAACCAAAACTAAAAACTAACCCAGTGTCCAAAAACAGGTAACAAAAGCATGGTGTAAAACTGAAGCAAGAAATAAAGAAACACAAAAGGTTTAAAAAGTTAAATGCACAAACCGCAGGCGGATGAAGGTGAGCAGGAGGATAAACAAGAGAGCAGCAAGGAACACATGAGGTGAATAAATAATGGAGGAAAAAAACAGGTAAATTTAACAAGGATGGAAATGGAGACAAAGGCCAGAAATGTAAAAAACAAGCAACACAAGTGAAAGGGCGGCTTCAAAATGAAACAGGAATTAACGGAAAAGAGAAACCTGCACATAGACAAACAGAAGGAATGAATCAAACAAAAGAAAACCAAAAACCAAGACACAACCGCTACATGCAGCTCCGTAATCATTTCTATCATCTTCCACAGTGCCACATTTTGTACTTTAGGGTCAAACATTGGAATATTTGTGGCGTTTTTTTTTTTTTTTTTCATGCAACATGACAGTTCGGTGATAAATCCTTATGGAGGTTGCTCACTGGAACATTACATAAACTCTTGTCACGTCTGTCACACAGATGAATCATGGCGTCGGTTCAGACTGCTGAAGTCACGCTTGAGTTACCTGATCGGTATCAGCCGCTCCGCTCACCGGCTGAACGGTGACGTCCAGCTGTGAAGCTATTAGAAGTTCACACCTCTTATCTGCTGCCAGCGATATCTGCTGCTGCATCCTGTGCAGCCACTGTGTGTATTTAACGCAAGATTAATAATATATACGTGCAAGAGCAGACTTGAAGTGTGTGCTGTCATTTAGGAAATCTTAGGAAAAATCTAAATACAGAAGATTGACACCAGAAGGTTAAAGGGGGGTTTTGCAAGCATCGAAGTCTGCAGTTAAGAGGAAAACGTAGCGATCGAATGTGGAACCTGTCAAAGGAGGGAGAATCTGAACACCAAGAAAACACCTTATGTTAAACTAATGTTCAGTTTGTCTTGTTCGTCAGGTTATATTGCAGAAATAGTCTTTGATTTTCTAAAAAAAAAAAGCATCTTTTATTAGATCTTCCTTGACTGGACTAAGTCATCAGGGTTCTTTTCTAAACTTGAGAGCCACAGAAGACATTTCCAGGTTTAGTGGTTCCCCTCATGATCAGTTCATTAAGCTTCGTTTGTAATTTTGGTAGAGTGGCCCCCTGAAAAGTCCCTCTGTAGTTCATGATTTAGCCCCTAAAATCACATTTCTGTCTATCAAGGTTACATATTTAAAGTTTTTTCCCCATTAAAATAATCCATTCTTGTCTTACATGTGCTTGGATGCAACTCCACAAAATCTCTTCCTTTTCAAATGTGCAGATCTATGAACTCCCCACCTCGTTTTCCACCTAATCCTTCCCATGTGTTGCAGCCTGAGCACACCAGCTCACCTGTGACTCAAATGCTCAAATACTATAAAACTATTTTGCAAAATATAATGGTAAGTTGGGCTGCAGGGTGGAGCAGTTGGTAGCACTGTTGCCTCACAGCAAGAAGGTTGCCGGTTCATGTTGCACTGGAATCTTTCTGTGTGGAGTTTGCATGTTCTCCCCGTGCAGTGTGGGTTCTCTCCGGGTTCTCCAGCTTCCTCCCACACAGTCCAAAAACATGTTGAGGTTAATTGGTGATTCTAAATTGTCCGTAGGTGTGAATGTGAGTGTGATTGGTTGTCTGTCTCTAAGTGTAGCCCTGTGATAGACTGGTTACCTGTCCAGGGTGTCCTCTGCCTTCACCCTAAGTCAGCTGGGATAGACTCCAGTCCCCCATGACCCTAGTGAGGATTGAGCGGTGTATAGATAATGGATGGATAATGGCAAGTTTGATATTGGGGTAATTCTGCCACACACAGAAAGTCTGATCCTATAAGTGAACAGAATATGGTCTTTTTAAGTTTCTTAGATTTGAAACCTGATTAGTCCGAATCTGTGTTTTTGAGACTTTGAGGTAGAAACGCTCAGCCCTGGTGTTGACGTCTTATCTTTGCGCTAAAACACAATGTGGACTTGTTAATAAGGTAAAGGTTACTGGTGGAGCTGTTTAACACATGCATCTGCATCTATAATTAGTATATTTGACCCTTAAAATCCCATTCCCCGAATTATTAAGCAAAATTCATCGACCTTATTGCTGTATGTGTACATAAACCACACTTGGCTGAAAGTTAAAAGTGCAAAGCCAACTTCTCAGATTCTTTTTTCCTATCGTTTCGTGTCCACATATCTTTCCAGTAAAGTTGCTTTGTTGGAGGTTTTAGTGTGTCACCAGATCAATAGTTCAATTCTGCCGGGCAGCAGAGTGTGACTGCACGCCTTTCTCTAAACCAGTGATATTTCTGGTTCTGCTGTCGGGATGAGTGTACAAATGGGTCTCTAAAGGGGCTGACAGGCGTGGATTCATTTATAAAAATGCTTGAGAGGAGTTGGGTTTAAGCCGCTTGAGCGATCCTATATCTTTGGAAACGGCCCCGAGGCAGTCTGAAACATGTTCGTACTGTAGTGCTTAAATCCCAGAGGTTTATATACAAGTGCTGCCATTGTAATCTTTGGACACCCCGCTGCTCACGTTGATCACAAATGGATTTTCTTTTTCATTCATTCACCCACTCTAATTAGTCTTGGGACCCACCTCTGACGTAATGACGTTGGCATCTGGGTTTGCAGTGATCTCAGTCAGCTCCCAGGTTAGAGTGTGAGCAACAATAGCAGTCTTCTTTCTTTTTTTTTTTTTAAAACGGTGACTCACTTTCTCCAAATATGATGAAGAGCTGTGTTCATAATCCTCATAAGGGAGTTGTTCAAGCGCAGGCCAATCAAAGAAGCCACCTGTGGGGGGGAAAAACATGACGAATGGCACTTTACCTGCTCACATGGGGCAAAAACAAAAGACTCTACTATAACTTAAATGTAATGGCAGGAAATAAGCTGGTGGGTGGGTGGGTGAGGAGGGGGTGAAACAACGTTTGGCACTGAAGGGCACCAAAAAAACAGAAAAAAACAGGTTGGAATGTGCAGCAGCTTTAAAAGGCAAAGCACCGTGAGTGGTTTTCCGCTTCTTAGTAAAGCCATTAGCGAGGTTTTAAGCACCGACATTTGATTTTTGTTGCCGCTTGGGTCTCCTAATCTTGGAACACTGTTATGCTACATGACCTAAAGTATGTGGACACCTGACTATAAAACGCCTTTTGGTTCCACTTCATCCTAAAGATGTTGAGGTCGGAGTTCTGTGCAGGTCAGGTTCTACGACATCAAACTGAACAGAACATTTAGTTTTAGGCCTAGATTTGGGAATTTAAAGAGACAAATGCATGTCAGTGTTATAAAATCTGACAGTTAAGGTAGTTTGGCTCGTTAATGAGCAGCTAGAGCTGCAGCAGTGGCTGTGGAGGCAGCTGAGATACTTGGGCTCTTTCTTGGGGCACCAATTGGAACAATTTACAGTTCTTAATCGTCTGAATCACAATTTGAAACACTGCAACTGGCAAATTGCAAAGGAATACAAGGGTTGGCAACTTAATAATGTTCTGTGTAGAGCAGATTGAAACTTCCACTGGTTGGTCATGCTTTCCCACTATGTGGTTTGGGCATAAATGCTGTGGCCCAGTTTTGTTGTTCAATAGCTGCATCTTGTACATTTTGCAGCGACTTTGACTCTAGTTTTAAACTGTTGTGTCGCTGCTTTTACAAACTTATGCCTCCTTCTTGTATGGCAGCCGTGCTTTTGATAGTATCTCATTTGGTAATGCTCCATGACATGTTTGAAGATATTTCACCATGAATATTGATTTGACTCAATATAAAATATACCACAGATGAAATCACGATCGCAAAATATGTAGAAAAAAAAAATCACATTTCGGTATTTTCACCAAATCGTTCAGCGTTCTGAACACACAGACATGTTTGTGTTGGTGGGTATTTGCAGCATGTTAACATCCATTTTTAACACCAGTATTTTAAAATATTACAGCTTTTTAAAATCTTGCTGGCTGGCTATGTGTTTAGCAGAGTTACTGTCTGTGGCTAATGACAA